TGCCTTGCAAGCTGCTCTTAGGGCATCCTGCTGAGCCCTGCTTATAATGCACAACCACTTTCCTACTCCAAAGTCCAAAAGTCTTCCACACTCCTCCAAAAATCAACACGGTCAGGATATAGTTGCTGATATCAAACTTCAATTACTTTTCCATTACTGAGACAAAACACTATGACCAAGGCAGCCTATTTAAAAAAAAAGAGTTTATAATTGGGCTTAGAACTCCAAAGGGTTAGAAGCTATGACAGTGGAGTGAGGCATGGTGATTCAGGTGGAGGGAAGGGAGTGGAGCAATAGACAAGCCTTCACATCTCCATCTTCGGGAAAGAGGTAGAGAGGGAGCACTAGGAATGGCCAGAATCCTTTTAATTCTCTAAGCCCACCCACTATGACCCACCTCCTCTAACAAGGCCACTATGTAGCTTAGGCTGGTCTAGAACTTAAACCCTCTGGCCTCAACCACATGCTAACTTGTATCACCAAGCCCATCTAGAAACTACTTTTTTCCTCTCTCTTTCTTGAACTGGATCTGTAGACTTTGTTTGTTTTGGTTTTTCGAGATAGGGTTTCTCTGTATTGTTTTGGAGGCTGTCCTGGAACTCCCTCTGAAGACTGGCCTCAAACTCACTGAGATCTGCTTGCCTCTGCCTCCCGAGTGTTGGTTTTAAAGGTGTGTGCTGCCAACACCCAGCTTAGACGTTGGATTTTAAAGAGAACTTGAACTTAGTTTTTTTTTCAATTAATTTATGTATGTGAATTTTTGCCTACATGTATGTATATGTACCACATGTATTCCGAGAGCATGTCAAGTCAGAAAGGGAGCTGTATGTCCTGAAACTGGGGTTACTGTCAGGACCCAAGAAAAAGAGTCCATATATACCATCTTGCCATGAGTTCAGAGAGCTCAAATCTGTCTTATTGTCCATGAGACATTAGTTTAGCAACTACAAGACGGTTCTGGCATTGGTGGGGATTTCTCTTATGTAAATAACAATAGGTTTGGGCTCAGGTGTGTTTACTAGACCCTGAAGGCAGGATGACAGGTATGGCTACCAAATACCTGGAGGATTAAGGGAAGTAAGTCTCTTTGCCCCTTATACATGATAACATACGTCTTCTACCTTTTGTCCTCACTGTTGGTTGAATACATAAGATGGTGTATGAATAAACTAGGGGCGCACTCAGTATGGATTGAATCTGCCCTCCTGACAGCTATCATGACTCTGTTCTTAACCCCTTTTAGCTAGCCTTTCCCTCATCCACACCCCCCACTCAGGTATGAACCCGGGGCTGCACGGCTGGCTGCAATTGCAGCCCTACAAACACAGCTTCCGACAGGTGAGCTACCATGTGGGTGCTGGTAAGTGAACCCAGGTTTATTGTTTTCAAGACAGGCCTTTCTCTGTGTACCTGTCCATGTTTGTCCTGGAACTCCATTTGTAGACCAGGCTGGCCTCTAACTCATAAAGATCCCTCTGCCTCTTCCTCCCAGTGCCATCAACACCTGGTGTGAACCAAGGTTCTTTACAAGAACAGCAAGTCCTTATTGGTAAGTCCAAAGCAGGACCCCAAATGGCAGTGCTGGTGACACACTCAAAAGGACTGCCAGCTACACAGAAAGGTTGTTACTGGGTAAGCAAAAATCTAAACTCAAAAAAAACATGTCAAATAGAGAATAACTCGACGCCTTCCCACTAAGATCAGGGTCAGGGGAAGGACAAGTGTCCATTTCTCCACTCCTACTCAACAGAGGGCTTGACGTTTTAGTAGAGCACCAAGAGAAGGAAATGAAAAGTATCCCTATCACAGACAGCACAGGTCTTACACAACAGACCCTAAACACTCCACCACAGAACTCTGAGCTCAGAAACATGTTGAGCAAAACGGCAAAGTACAGATTCAATGCATGAGCAGCGGCTCTCCTAGAGGTCACTGACAGAGTCGGAAAGATAAGCTGTTTACAATATGAGCAACAAATCTAGCACAAGGAAGAAAACAAAAGTCTTCTACAATGAAATCGTCAAGACTCAAAAAAAAAAAAAGGAAGACACTAGATTTGGAAACACCTCCCATGCTCATGTACTCCAAGAAACAGTACTGTCAAAATGGCCATCTTATCATAGGCAACTACAGACTCCATGCAATCCCAGTCAAGCTGCTGCTTGTAATTTGTGTGGTGGGATATACAGACTCACACAGCATTAACATCATGTTATTCCTTCCTATTGCTTTATGATTTGGGAGCCTCCATGCCTAGTCCACATAGACTATCTCCTATATCCATGCTGACCTAACTCAGATATCTTTTTAAAGGAAAGAGGAAACTGTCCACATTTGATCTGGGAGATGCTGAATCACATGGGGCATGGTCACATTTTACCATGAAGCTAAGCTTAACATAAGCAAAAATAACCATGTAGCTATGTCACCATCTTGGCTAATGACCTCATCAAGATGGTGGCAACCATGAGAATTCATACCATCTCAATTAATGCAATTACGTGGGATGGCACATAAAACTTCCTGGTCCCACTAAGCCAGTTAAGGAAACACCACTCTTTTTAAAAATATCAGACTAAGGGTAATAATACCAGACCTCCAGTGTTAATTCTCATGAACTGTCTTGCATGACATATTTACTGCCTTAAAGAAAGAGACTGGCAGTCACTGAACCCTCATCTGAGTACCCAGCTATCCCTCAGTCAATGGCACGCAATTCTGCATATGGCCCTGAGGTCTTGTGGAGCAGCTAAACTGGAAGAGACTAGGCGTTAGGACCCTGCATTATGCTGACCCCGCCCCCTGACAATGGGTGGGACATCATGTCAGCATTCAGGCAGGTACTGAGGCAGCTCAAAGGGGCCAGTGTTGAGTTGTGTGACTACATCACGCAAGGGATCAGTACGCATGTGCAGCTTCCCCTTTTAAGCAAGCCTTCTCACGTGCTCCGTTTCTCTCCTCTCGCTCTCCCTTCTCTGCTTCTTTCTCTCTGCTCCTGGTTGGCCAACACCCCCTTCTCTTCTTCCCTTTCTCTTCAGTAAACTCTACGTGGGTCTGTTTCATTTCATTGCCCATTGCTGCAGCACAAGAACACTAGGAAGAGAGGTTTTACCTATGCAGCTATGGGGAAGACATCACACATATTTGAAGACTTCACTGTGGCTGCTTGTGGGTCGCCTACAAGGCTGTCAGCAATGCCCTATCCATGCTCTGTAAATTAAGTCCAGTAAATTCATTGATTCCTCAGGATGAAGTTTGGTGAGACAGGACTTTGGTTTCTCATTTGGGATCTTATATGACAGACATTACTCGGTCTTTCCCAACCCCAGAGAGAAAACTCTCAAAACATATGAAAAAAAATGGGGGAGGGGGTTCAAGACTGGTTTCTCTGTGTAACAGCCCTGGCTGTCCTGGAACTCACTCTGTAGACCAGGCTGGCCTCGAACTCAGAGATCCATCTGACTCTGCCTCCCCGGTGCTGGGACTAAAAGTATGCACCAACATGGTAAATTTGTTAATATTATGTCTCATGGTATTTTTTTAAGGTTTATTTATGTATTACATATACACTATTCTGCCTACATGCCAGAAGAGGGCACCAGATTGAATTGTAGATGGCTGTGAGCCACCATGTGGTTGCTGGGAATTGAACTCAGGACCTCTGGAAGAGCAGTCAGTGCTCTTAACCTCTGAGCCATCTCTCCAGCCCCCATGTCTCATGGTATTTAAGCAAACGAAAATGTTAGAAAAATGGAAATCATATTAAAAGAATGTGTATAAAGACTTTGATAACTGAATGTTCACAGAATAGAGAACTAAAAGGTTTACACAAGATATAATGGTCTGAATAAATTATTTAAGATATATAAAAGATGGACTGGAGAGATGGCACTGGCTGTTTTCCTAGAGGACCCAGATTCAAGTCGCAGCACCCACATGGCAGCTCACAACTATCTGTAAGTCCAGTTCCAGGGGATATGACACCCTCACAAAGACATACAGGCAAAACCCCAACGCATATAAAAGTAAATCATTAAAAAATATATGTAAAAGGTGAGACTTAGATACATTATATTGAGTTTTGAAAGGTCCACATTCAGTACATTGATGTCATAAAATTTGTGAAACTATTGATCTGCTTTCAGTAACAATTACAAGCACTTGCTGAAGAGCACCAGTGTATGCCTGATCAATTTTGTTTTACGGAGTGTTTGGGCCACCACCTTTAATTCCAGAACTTGGGAGGCAGAAGCAATCTCTGAGTTTGAGGCTAGCTGGTCTACAGAGTTCCAGGACAGCCAGGGTGACACAAAGGAACCCTGTGTTGGGAGGGATTTTTTTTTGACCAAGCTTTATCTAAATATTACATGGTAGTTAAAAGCACCATCCAAGTATGGGTGCACAAACCTTCAATCCCAGTACCTAAGACACAAAAGAAGCTGGATCTCTGTGAACTGGATGCAATCCTACTTGACAAAAGTTCTAGAACAGCCAGAGCTACACAGTAAAGACCCTGTCTTTTAAATTTAAAGGACAGTTTTGGGGGGGTTTTTTTTTGTTTTGTTTTGTTTTGTTTTGTTTTTTTTTGGTTTACTGAGACAGTGTTTCTCTTTCTCTGTGTAGCTTTGAAGCCTATCTTGGCACTTGCTCTGTAGATCAGGCTGGCTTCGAACTCAGAGATCTGCCTGCCTCTGCCTCCTGAGTGCTAGGACTAATGGCATGCACCACCACCACCCAGCATGGTGAACAACCTCCCTGTCACAGGCCAGCACATTCTAGGTCAGGGGGTAAGGGAGAAAGCTTGAGGTAAACATGTTTGCATATGAAAAAGGGAGGGAGAGTATGTCCCTCCCAGAGTCTGCAAACCTAAGCAACATGACAGCTTGTCAACAGAGTGCATATTACAACTGTGTGAACTTTTTCTGAGGTTTGACTGTCTGTCTACCTCAGACAAGGGTACCAAACACAGACACAAGGAAAAGATTTGACACAACTGCAGCTTGGAGAACCAATCATTTTAATCAGGGTTACTTACAGGAGGAGCATGGGTCTATAAAGGGTTAGTGACAGGAACATGGGGAAATTATGGGTAGGTATTCCACTGAAGAAAGGGTTTCTCCCTTTACCAGCAACAATTACCTCCTTTTATATCCAAAGGAGGTGTAAGGTCATGTGAGACTCTCCTGTGTAAGTATCATTAACTGCCCAAAAATATCCAGGGATGGGCCAGTTTGTGGTGGCACACGCCTTTAATCCCAGCACTTGGGAAGCAAAAGCAGGAGGATCTCTGTGAGTTCAATACCAACATGGTCTACAGAGTGAGTTCCAGGACAGCTAGGGGTGTTACACAGAGAAACCCTGTCTCACGAAAATGAAATCAAAAACATATATTCAGGGAGAGAAAGGTCTCTTGATCCCTCCCTGCAATGAATATTAATAGCCTGTAAATCATCAGGGAAGTTGCCAGGGATCCATGTCCATCCCTCTGCATAGATACAAAGGCCTCAATCTTGTGCAGGCTCCTACAGGTCATCACAGGTACTGGAATTTCAAGACTGGCAATGGTATGCTCAGAAGACAGCATTCCAAAGCATGCCATCCCTTCCTCTGGTGCCCCATTTTCTAGAAATTTGCCCAAGCCTAGGAGGGAGTGATAAGGCTCATCAGTAACTACTGCCTACAGCAAAAACGAATTTCTCTTTCCAAAAATGGCGGGAGCAGTACTCTACAGGCATAAACACAGAACTTGAAACAGTCATTTCACAGAAATATACCCGTTTAGCAAACACCAATAGCTTTACCCTATGACTGTCAGGCCATAGGTTGTGGATGGGGCTTAAGAGATGTGAATTGACCCCTGCAGAGCAAGCCTTCAATCCAACCAGAAAGCAGTTGATCACTCTCATTAAAACATGCCACTGTTGTCCTAGCAACTATACGACACTTATTTCTACATCATTCCAGGAAGATGCATGAAGAAATCAGAAGACAACTTGCAGGGTTTGTTTCTCTTTCCATCACATGGGTTCTGAGCTCTAACTCAAGTTGCCAGCCTTGGCAACAAGCACCTTTGCCAGATGGGCCGTCTCACAGGCCCTAGCAGGCACATCTTGCTTGACATTTTAGTAATACACAGGGCCCAGAGCTGAGCAGTGCTGCATAGTAGTCTGCACCTACAGGACCTATGAATGCTGGCCAGCAGGGAGGCGGCTTCCAGCTGTTTCAGCTTGTTTTCTCCTACTCGGCAAACAAAGCATGTGGTGTCTTCAGGCACAGCCTTAACACTAGTGCTAGAGACAACTATAGCACTGGCAATAGCCAGTACCATCTGGGGACTTTGGGGGCATCTGTGGCCAACCCCTGCTGGAGAAGTAGCCCACATACAAGGGTGTCTTCATTCAAGGTTTTCAACTATTCATTTAACGTCAGCCAGTGGCTGTGAAGGATTTCCCTCACTCACCTTGCTTTGTCTCGCCTGTGTCTTACCCAACTACAACACTCCAAGAATTCCCCATGTGCCTGCCCTGTGCACACGTGTACCTCCCTTTTGGTCGTCACTGTTTCAGCTCACACGGGTGCTTTTCTAACTCTGTGGAACACTCACAGGCTGGCATTATGTCAGTGGTGACACCTTTTCACACAGGGGTCTCAGGATCACTGAGCACCCACAAGCCACCATCCCAAACAAGTGCCAGCTGGACTCGACAGTCAGGAGCTAGAGGGCAGTAAATAGATTAACAAGATCCAACAGCATGAGGATTCTGTCACCTGGACCACGTGTTTCCTCAATGCTGACCTGAGGACAGACATAGCACAGCTGAGAGTGCATACATGAAGCCTAGGTTTGTTTCAAAGCCCAGAAAAACAGATTGGGTGACTTGTGCATGCAACCCCAGTATCTGGTAAGAGGAGGCAGGAGGATCAGGACTTCCCAGATCCTCCTCGACTACACAGTGAATTTGAGACCAGCATGAGCTACCTAAGAACTTGCCTCAAGAAAACAAGAAGTAAACCAAAACCAATAACGGACACAGAGGTGTAGACGGGAGGCCGCACCACCTAGTCCTTCTTTATGAGGACAGACACAGAGGTGTAGACGGGAGGCCGCACCACCTAGTCCTTCTTTATGAGGACAGACACAGAGGTGTAGACGGGAGGCTGCACCACCTAGTCCTTCTTTATGAGGACAGACACAGAGGTGTAGACGGGAGGCTGCACCACCTAGTCCTTTCTGATCCACCTGCGCCTCACCTTGAGCGCAGCCGTGGTGGGGAAGGAGCTGGCTCTTGTTCTCTAACTGGTGTGGGGGCCAAGGGGAAACCAGATATGCTCACCTGCTGTACCCCACGGACTCCCCGGGTCTGACAGCCTCTGGGCCCAAGCTGTCGCACACTGCTGCCTCTTCAGTGGACGAACGTGCCTGGCTGCCGAGAGGTCCCTGGGCTGAATAAAAAGTTACACACAAGCATCCTTTCCTGCAGGAGAGCATACAACTCACTCTGGGGAACGACTCCAGGGAAAGCGCAGACTTCTCAGCTGCACTACTTTATGAGACCTTCCTTCACTGACGGTTTTTCCTCAAGCTTTACAGCCTCGCAAAGACAGAATATTCACTACCACAGCTTCCCTACCGGGCTACTGTTTAGGCCTCCACTACTCATACGCTCTACCACCAACTTCCTGTTCTTCTGTAGTAAAGGTTAGGCCTAGGGGACATTATCACTTCTACTTCACTCCCTTCGAATGCGGCGTCCTCGCTGTTCAAGGCTTACGGAGGCTTCAAGTTTTAGGAATCCAGAGGGACTACCTAGCTCTGAATTTGTTCCCCCTATGCCATCTCCAGCTGTGAGAGCCGGAAGCCAGCAGCTCACTCCTTCCCACCTCCTTCCCACAGTCCTTCCTTAGTCTTCCTGCCATTTTTGGAGCCAATACAGGGGACAGCATCTGCACATCTTTTCCTCAAAGTGACTCCTCCTTCAGAGGGGCAAGTTCATGTTAGCAGACAGCTAAGCCTTATCTGCATGCCTTATTACCCAGAGCAAGGCTGTGCACCCGCTGCCTACATAACCCTGTCCCACCTGTACAAGGGGGTGGGCTCCATGTGGCAAAAGTCATTTGAGTTGCATGGCACAGGCAACCCAGCTGGTACTGCACAAGAAGGCACACCGTTCCATGGCACCCCGGAAGGACTGCATTTCAGAGTGAACACCGCAGACGGTCCTCCCACAGAAAGCTTCCCTTCAGCGGCACATGTCATCACCCACAGCAGAGACGAGGCAAGTGCTCCTCTCAAACTTGTCTTTGGTTCCGTTGTGACTGTCAGGTGTTATGTGACATTCCCTGGCCACGCGCTGAACAAGCGTCTATTCACCCAGACAGGGCACCGAGGATAGGAGCAAAGAAATGATTCCACCCACGTGCAGCCTGGGCAGCCATTGAATGGGACTGGACCTACTGAGCACAGGCAACTTACAGGAAGCTACACTACCGATAAAAACATCTGTCCATCTCCCAGCAACCAAAAACTTACCATACTCTTTACAAGTACAAGAAGGCTTTGTTCCATCATCAATCATTATGCATCTTTGAAAGAACTGTGAGCATGAAGGTGTCACAGCTTTGTTTCCACTCACAGAATTGTTTCCAGTAGTTCATTCACGGAATCTATGGAAGCAATGACATCTAAACAGCATGGTTTTTTCCTCCATTAAGATGTCTTTCATGTTACCAAAGGAACCCACATCATCTCCTGAAGGCTCAGCACACTGCTGACATTCACAACATTTTCACTGTGAGTCCTTTCGTGTTTGAAGCAAATAGGGATAAAAGACTGGCCACATTGTTTCCATTCATAAGGCATTTCCCCAGCATGAATCGGTTTCTGTGAAAGAAGGGTGGCCAGCAAAGGCTTACCACACATTGCTTACACTTGTAGGAACCGTGCCCAGCATGAATTCCTTCGAGAATTTCAAGTCTAAACCATATCATTCATATGGCCAAGGTTTACCACGTGACATCTTCAGTTCTTACATGTGGATAAGGACAAACACTTTAACACACTGTCACATTCATAGTGCTTTTCACCAATATGAGTTGTCTGATGTATTTGGAGGAAACAGGGATAAAGGAATTAGATACTGCTGACATTCAAAGGGGTTTTCCACAGCATGAATAGATTTATGTCTCTGAAAGGAACTGTGACGGCTGAAGGCTTTCCCACACTGTTTGCATTCATAAGGTTTTTCTCCTGTGTGTGTTCTTTCATGTAATCGGAGGTAACTGTAACGTATAAAGGCTTTGTCACACTGTTTACACTCATAGGGTTTCTCTCCACTATGAATCCTTCCATGCAGTCGAAGGGAAGAGTGATGTCTAAAGGCTTTCCCACACTCTTTACATTTATAGGGTTTCTCTCCAGTGTGAGTTATCTCGTGCAATCGAAGGGAAGTGTGGCGAGTGAAGGCTTTCCCACACTGCTGACACTCATAGGGCTTTTCTCCTGTGTGCGTTCTCTCGTGCAGTCGAAGGGAAGAGTGATGTCTAAAGGCTGTACCACACTGCTTACACTCATAGGGCTTTTCTCCTGTGTGCGTCCTCTCGTGCATCTGAAGCAAAGAGGGGTAAAGGAAGGACTTCCCACACTGCTCACACTTATATGGTCTGTCGCTGGTGTGCGTTCTCTCGTGCATCTGAAGTAGGGAGGGGTAAATGAAGAGCCTACCACACTGCTTGCACTCATAGAACGTCTCTCCACCGTGAATGATTTTATGTCTATGATAGGAAGTCTGACACCTGAAGGCTTTCCCACACTGTTTACACTCATAGGGTTTCTCTCCGGTGTGAGTCCTCTCGTGCAATCGAAGGTAACTGTGACATGTGAAGGCTTTCCCACACTGCTGACACTCATAGGGTTTCTCTCCAGTGTGAATCCTTTCGTGTAACTGAAGGGCGCTGTGACATCTAAAGGCTTTCCCACACTGATTACATTTATAGGGTCTTTCCCCCGTGTGAATTCTCTCATGCCTTTGAAGTGACGTGGAAGAGCTCAGAGCTTTGCCACACTGATTACATTTATAGGGTCTTTCTCCCGTGTGAATTCTCTCATGCCTTTGAAGTGAACTGTAAGAACTCAGAGCTTTGCCACACTGGTTACATTCGTAACGTTTTCTTACAGTGTGAGTCCCTCCATGTGTGTAAAGTGAACTATGATAAACAGAAGCCTTTCCACATTCCTTGTAGTCACAGAAGTTTTTTCCACTGTGAGTTTGGTGATATATTCCAAGTGTACTTGAAAAACCAAAGGGTTTTAAACATACCTCACATTCACAAGGTCCATTCACAGTGTGAGCACCCGTGTGTCCTTGAACATTTGCGAGGTAACTGGGGTCACATGGCATGTTTCCACATTCCTCATGCTCATATGGCGTGTACTCAGAGTGAGAGATGGTGTGCCTAGTAAGGGATGCATAACACATGAAAACCTTTCACAGACATGGCATTCAGAGAGCTTAATTCAGTGGGAAGCTCGCTGCTCATATTGAAGTTCAGTGTAAGGATTTTTGTCATGCTGATTACCCTCTTTACTCTCTAACATACAACTTCTGCAAAAAATGACAAACAGCCAGGCTTGGTGGTGCATGTCTTTAAGCCCTCAAGAGCAGGTGGGTCTCTGTGAGCTAGAGGCTAGTCTGATCTACATAATGAGTTCCAAGCCAGTCAGAATTACATGGCGAGACCCTGTCTCAAAAACAAAAGATGCTAGGCAGTGGTGGCCCACACCTTTAAACCCAGTACTCAGGAGGCAGAGGCAGGTGGATCTCTGTGAGTTTGAGGCCAGCCTGGTCTACAGTAGTTCCAGGACCGGATAGAGATCCTGTCTCGAAACAAAACAAAACAAAGACAACCAAATTAGTCTCTAGTGACTGCTGATGATTAATGTCAGACACTGCTTTCACCGTACTCTCTCTTCCCCATCTGAACGGTCTGAACTAACCAGACTGGTGGTTCTACACTATGCCTCCTACAGAGCTATAATTACACACTGACAGTCACTGACACTGGGTCCAAGTGAATTATGTTGCCAACTGAGTAGCATTCTTACACTGAGGTACATATTTTTGCAATGATAATAATTAAAGGTTATTTCTTTTCGTCATTGTTAAATTTATATGGCACCTTAAAGTTTCTGCAAGAAACATGCTTCCACTTATACATGCAAATTACCTTTGATATCTTCCAAAATTTTTGCAATCATCTTCAATAGTCTGTTCTTCCCATATATATCCTAAAATACAGTACCAAAAATTTATGGTAAATTATTAGAAATTAATGAAAGCAAAACTGGATATGGTGGCAAATGCCTTACCCTCAATACCCAGAAGGCAGAGCCAGGTGTCTTTGTGAGGTCAAGTCCAGTCTCTAAATAGTGAGACTCTATTTTGAAAACAAGGTCAGAAATTTCTAATAACCAAGAGCTGGAGATAAAGCTCCCTGGTTAAGAGCACTTGGTGTTCTTGAGGGACACAGCTCTGGTTCCCAGCACCCGCACTGGGTAGCGCACAACCACCGTAACCCCAGCTCCAGGGAACCTGAAGCCTCTGCTCCTGCACTCATGCACATACAAAGCCACCCTCACGCACATTAAAATAAAATAAAATTACACTAAATAAAGAAGAAAAGACAGGCTGGAGATATGGCGCAGGGGTTGAGAGTGCTCACTGCTCCCAGGCAGTGGCTGCGCACGCACGCCTTTAATCCCAGCACTCAAGAGGCAGACAGGCGGGTCTCTGTGAGTTCAAGGTCAGCCTGGTCTATAGAGTGAGTTCCAGGACAGCCAGGGCTGTTACACAGAGAAACCCTGTCTCAAAAACCAAAAACAAACAAACAAAAAAGAGTGCCTACTGCTCTTGGAGAAGAACTAGGTTTGGTTCCCAGCACCCACATGGCTGATAAAAACCACCTATAACTGCAGATAATCTGATGCCCTATTCTGACCTCCAAGGGCTCCTACACACATGCGGTACACATTTACTCACAGAGGAGCATACACACATAAAAATAATAAAATTATTGAAAAACAAACCACTGAAAAGTAGTTTCTAGTCTCAATGTAATCATGTCTCCTTTTTCTTAAAACGTAACTCTGTGAAAGGGGGATTTTCGTGTGTGTGTGGCGTGTGGGTGCACATGTGTGGTGTGTGCGAGTGTGAGTTGTGCGTGTGCATGTGTGTGGGTGTGGGTGCGCATGCCACAGGGCAGACATACAGGTGCGAGGATAACTTCGGGAGCTGTACAACCTTCCCCCTACATGGTCCACCAGGCTTGCAGAATGACCTTTAAAGTCTTGAGTCATCTAACCCGCTACTATTGTGTCACTTACTCACCAGATTCTTCCCTTTTTACACCAAATCACAGAAGACCATTTCTAACAGGAAAATGCTTGCTCCCTAACCTACAGCGACGCTAAGATGATGTCCTCACCTATGGCAGCGAGGTTCCGGCAGGTCTCCAGCATCACATCTCTGTACAGACTCTTCTGGGAAGGATCCAGCAGAGCCCACTCTTCCTGGGTGAAGTGCACAGCCACGTCCTCAAAGCTCACCAGATCCTGAAACATCCCACACATGTATATAAAAGAACTGACAACTGACGGGGGTTGGTGGGGGGAGACGGTTCAGTAGTTAAGAGCACTAACTGCTCTTCCAGAGTTCCATAGTTCAAGTCTCAGGACCCACATGGCAGCTCACAAGTGTCTATAACTCCAGGATCTCATACCCTCATAAGGACAAACATGCAGGCAAAACACTGATGCACATAAGATAAAATTCAAACAATTAATTAATTAAAAGGAACGGACAGGACTGCTATGCATGCTCAACTGATAAAATGTTCACGTATTTCTGCAGTCCCCTCCACACATGAACTGCATGGCTGAGGCGCTCTAACGCAAACCCTGAAAAAGGTGAGCAGGGACATCGAGGGTAACGACAGTCCTCTCGCTGAGTGGCCTGGGCGTCAGGCTACATGGCAGCCCCACCCAATTGTCACTCACAGAAAGTCAGTCCCACGACCTGTACCCAGAAGAGAGCTGTCAGTCTTTAGACACCCATGTGTACAGAGTTTAAGCTTTGCTGGGTGGAGAGAACAAGATAATGGGGAAGCTCATGAATGAACACAAAGAGTGAGAATAGATCACTCAGCACAATGCGTTATAAAAATACTGAGGCAATTCAGAACCATTTTCCTTCTGAGAGTGAACTCATCTGTTAAAAACTCACAAAAACCTAGAGCCATCAGACACATTCCCAAGAAAATGGACAATGTGCCTGAAGAGTTTGCCTACTTCCCACGTGCTGTCACACGTAAACTGGCATGAGCCCACCCTATGTGCTAACAGGACTGAGTTACTTACTCCGTCCTGAGTAAACTTACTCCGTCCAAATGTTAGGGAAGAAAAAGCTCCAGATCATGAGAACAGTCTTTCAGGCTTGGGTTGAGACCTAATAACAGTCCAGCGTGGCTGGTTCAGTACCCCGGCTAAGGGACCACCCCTAGAAAAGCAGGCTCACCACACGCCATGCTAAAGAGACAGCTGTACTTCAACGAGTTACTTTCTTTCCCTTCCCAGAACCCCTGGCCCCACTATAGTCATGTAGCGTTGTTAAGTCTGCCCAGCTTTCTCTATTTTTCCCTCCTATCTCTTTTCCAAGCATACTTTAACTCTGCTCCTCCCCAGCCTTGTTTTCTTAACTCCTTCTCTAAGCCCCGCCCCCCAATACTGCTTGTTAGTATCTAATCTGTGCTAACATTTCAATGGCATGGCTTCCACCCTGCACAGCTGCTCTTTTAAACACTGATAAAATTGTCCTTGTGCATTCTGAAACTCTTTTATTAATAAGACAAAGAAACCCCAAAGGGGACCCCAATTCCCGGTATCACACATTAAATCAAGTAATACAAATACTACATGATCAATATTTAAAAGACTGGTGGATCTCTGTGAGCTGGAGGCCAGCCTAGTCCACATAGGGGGTTCAGGACAGCAGGGATAGAATGAGAGCCACCTCATAACAAATAGGGGCTGGAGAGATGGCTCAGTGCTTAAGAGAACGTGTTGCTCTTGCAAAGGACCCAGGTTTAATTCCCAGGACCCACACGACAGCTCACACCCATCTGTTTCAAGGATCCAACACCTCTTCTTACTTAGCTCTAAAGGCAGGAAGCACACACATGATGCACATATGTACATGTAGGTAAAACACTCATACATAATTTTTTTTAAAAAAGCAAATAAATCCAAAGAATGAATGAATGAATGAATAAATAACCGGGGGGTGGTGGTGGTGGTGGTGGTGGTGGTGGTGGTGGTGGTGGTGATACATGCCTTTAACCCCAGCACTAGGGAAGCTGCTTCAGGAAAGAGACAGAAAGATCACCTGACTCCAGAAATCTGGACCAGACTAAGTCAAAGAGTGACTTGTGCATGTCTGGGGACAGAAGGGAGACTGCAGAGGTACAGTACCAACAACATTCACTTCTTCCTAATTACACTTTCTAAAAATCCAATAAATCTCACAGGCGTTTTTTTGTAGTTAACCATTTTTTTTTCTAAACTGACAAGGAATCACAGCTGTTTAGCCCAAGCCAACAGTATTATAATTAATATAGCATCTGTGTGTTCATTTGGAACTGACATGGCATTTTTTTTTTCTTTCTTGGTTTTTTGAGACAGGGTCTCTCTGTGTAGCCCTGACTGTCCTGGAACTTGCTCTGTAGACCAGGCTGGCCTGTAACTCAGAGATCAATGCTGGGATTAAGGTGTGAGCCACCACCAGCCATTTTGGGATGGGTTTCTTTTAAAAAGTATACACACACACACTCATGCACACGTGTGTGCAGCAAGAAAAAGGACGGCACTGAAAAGAAGAGACTCTTTCTTCACAATAAATCCAAGAATCAACAGAAACAAAATCAACTATGGATATAAGGCGCAGTGTCCTGTACAGCAGCAGTGAGCAACTGAATGCACAAGTGTCACATGCAGTACAGCAACACAGACGGAAGGGACATACATATATAAAAATTTAATAAAGTCCCTTAGACAAGAGCTACATTGTTCTTAAAAAGATTTAAAATTTTTTTGAACCCTCAAAAAGTTTTAAGGACAAAAAAAGTACAAGTTTAGATATATACCAAGGGAGACACTGGGCCTCTCTGAGTGAAATAACACTTCTACTTTATTTTCAGGTTTATTATTTTATGCATATTAGAGGAGGCCTGGATCCCAAGACTAGTTAAAGAAGGTTGTGAGTTGCCATGTGGGTGCTGGGAATTGAACTTGTGTCCTCTGCAAGAGTAACAAGTGCTCTTAACTACTAAGCCAATTCTTCAGGGTACTGGACACTCTGGGACTGGGGTTACAGGCAGTTGTGAGCCACCCGAGGTGAGTGCTCCATACTGTCCTAAGGAGCCATCATTACAGGCCCTCCACTCCTTATCTCTTTGAGACAGGCTCTCACTCCGTAGCCCTGGCTATGTCAGCCAAGCTATCATCAATCTGCCTGCCTCTTCCTTACAAGTGCTGGAATTAACAAGGACTACAGGTTTTGAACAACAACAACAAAAAAAAAAAACCCACAAAATATCGATATAGTCCATGTTTATGAACAGGATGCTTCAGTATTAAAATGTCATGTTTCCTCAATCAGCAACAAAAATCCAACAATGGCAATAAAAAATCCTAACAATTTACTAAAAAAATAAACTGATTCTGAAGTTTATATGGAGAGAGGGAAAATAACTCGAAATGGTCCACACAATTCCGATGGAACAGAACAAAGACACACAGTTTAAGACTACCAATAAGCCGGGCGTTGGTGGCGCACGCCTTTAATCCCAGCACTTGGGAGGCAGAGGCAGGCGGATCTCTGTGAGTTCGAGGCCAGCCTGGACTACCAAGCGAATTCCAGGACAGCCTCCAAAGCCACAGAGAAACCCTGTCTCGAAAAACCAAAAAAAAAAAAAAAAAAAAAAAAAAAAAAAAGACTACCAATAATACTACAATAATCAAGATAGGACAGTATTTGAGAAATAAACAAATCAACAAAATAGAAAACCCAGAAATAAAAATCACAAAAAAGAACCTTTAAAAAAAAGCAAAGAAACTCAATTATTGGTAAAATGTTATTGGCATATTTATAGACAAAGATGGTATGTTTATAGACAAAGAAATGAATGGAATAAACGCTTAAATTTTCACGATGCTGCGGTTGAGAGCACTGGCTGCTCTTCCAGAGAACAGCTCCCACATGGAAGCTGACAACTGTCTGCGACTACAGTTCCAGGAGATCCGACACCCTCACACAGACAGACACACAGGCAAAACACCGATGCACATAAAAGTAGTTTTTAAAAAGTTTAAAGTTTCGCCGGGCGTTGGTGGCGCACGCCTTTAATCCCAGCACTCGGGAGGCAGAGGCGGGCGGATCTCTGTGAGTTCGTGACCAGCCTGGACTACCAAGAGAGTTCCAGAACAGCCTCCAAAGCCACAGGGAAACCCTGTCTCGAAAAACCAAAAAAAAAAAAAAAAAGTTTAAAGTTTCACAGTATTAACTCAAGTTGAATGCTTGACCTAAATGTAAAATTCAGAACTCCTAGAAAGTAACCGGAACTAGACGACTGGAGTTCTACTGCCTGCTGATGAAACACCCAAAGCGGGACCAACGCGCCGGCACCCCGCAGCGCGGCGACGGTCCCCGGGGCAGCGACGGTCCCCGGGGCGGGGCGGGGGTGCAGCGATGGCCCCCGGGAGCAGCGACGGTCCCCGTGGCGGGGCCTGCCGCTGCGATGCTCGCCGCACTGCGCAGACGCGGGTCGCGAGGGCCGGGGATAGAGGGCCCGGCGTCACACAGCGCAGGACGGCGCTGCCGGCCCCGCTCGAGCCCCGGGGAGGATCCGGCGGGGACGGCCGTCCTCGCTCGCTCGCTCACCATGGCGCGGTAGCTGTCCTCACGGCTCCCGGCGGCGGGGCTCCCGGCGCTGCACAGCGCACCTCCCGCGGCCGCCTCGCCAAGCCCACAGTATGGCGGCCGAAAAGAGCCCGCCCATCTCCGCCCTAAGTAGACGCAGCGCTCCCCGATCCTGATTGGCTAGCAAGGCTTGAGTGACACCTGCTTCCCAAGGCCGAGTGGTGGAACTCAAATGACAGCCATAACCCGCCCTCCAAGGTTTGGCCCCCCCCACCCCCACCCCCACCCCCCCGTCCAGCTCAGGGGACAGTTGTATTTAAGCTGGCCCTAACCCTACCCTTAACCCCGGTAAAGCTGTCCTCATAGCACTTCCAGTACTTCCTCCTGGACACCGAGTTGCCACTGTGCACACTCTACTATGCAGTCAGTGTTCACTGCAGTAATCCTGCCTCACCACTAGAAAGACGCCCAAGAGCAGGACCTGGTGATCCTCAGGGGTCAGGACCATCTCCTATAGTTCATCTTTCTCGGGCTACACCTTAACACAAGTATTCGTTTCCTCTACTTTCATAGCACACATGTTCTTCCAAACTACTCCAGTTAAGATCTCCTCTCCTGCCGGATGGTGGTAGCAGTGGTGCACGCCTTTACCCAGCATTTGGGAGGCCGAGGCAGGTGGATCCCTGTTGAGTTCGAGGCCAGCCTGGAACAGTGGAGGAACAGGGATGAGGGTATATTTCTATTGCTGTGATAGACTATTCTAACAAAAAGCAATTTAGGGAAGGAACTGTATTTTTTGTGTATGGTTCCAGAGGAACTACATTCCATTGTGATGGGGAAGACATGGCGGAAGGAGTATGAGGAAGACATGGCGGAAGGAGTATGAGGTCAGTCTGTCTTAGGGTTTCTATTGCTGTGATAAAACACCAGGGCCGAAAGCAGCTTCTGGGAGGAAAGTGTTCATTTGGCTTACATTCCCCACCTCATAGTACTGAGGGAAGCAAGGCCAGACTCAGGAGGCAGGAACATGCAGCAGTGCTGCTCTCCCACTGGCGTGCCCCCCCCCCCGACCTGTTCATTTCACTTTGTTATACACCAGTGACAACTTGTCCAGGTGGCACTGCCTGGCCTGGGAACTCTCACATCTATCATTAATCAAGAAAATGCCACCACAGGCTTGCCAAACAGGCCAATCTGTCTGTCTGTCTGTTTGAGGACAGGTTTCTCTGTGTAACTTTGGAGCCTGTCCTGGAATTCACTTTGTAGACCAGGCTGACCTCGAACTCACAGAGATCTGCCTGCCTCTGCTGGAATTAAAGGCATGTGCCACCACTGGCCAAACATTCTTATTTTAAAAGTCCCACAGTCTTTAAAAATTCAAAGTTTAAAAACCAAGTCTCTTCGAACTAGAGAGGTGGCTCAGGAGTTAAGAGCACTAACTGCTCTCCCAGAAGGCACAGGTTTGATTCTCTGAATCCACACGGCAACTCACAACCATCTGTCACTTCTGTCCCAAGGACTCCAACACCCTCCCTTCTGACTTTTGCAGGCACCAGGTACAAACATGATGTATAGATGTATACATCCTCAGACAGCTCAGGCATGATTGCTTGTCTTACCATCCACTGCAGGGAGCACACAGCTCAGGAAGACAAGTGATTCTCCACCATAAGGGAAAGGGAGCCATATTGGGATCCCCTGAGATGTTTTCCCCTCACACAAGTCAGCACCCATTGCAGGGACAATGCCCCTATTCCTTCCCATCCTGGCTTCTGTCAGCCCCTGTCAAGCATGCGCATTTATGCTGTGTGACACTATTCCTACAGAGATACAAACAAACATCAACTCACCCCAGAGAGGGAGCAGACGGCAGATGAAGGGAAACCCTGACGTTCAACTTGCTGAATCAATGAGTTTATTGGAGTTATCAGGAGTATGGCTTAGTGGTTGCTTGAAAAGAACAAGGACTCAAAGGTAGGAGCATCATTGAAAGCCCACCCCCAAACAGGTGAGGGCTCCAAGCTGCAAACCTGGAGTTCTCTGAATGACATGCAAGCAACTTGACTATTTTCATAGCCTCGAGAAGGAATGAGCCTTGTGCACTTACTAAGTTTCAGGAACTTCCTCAGACTTTGAATTGTTATGTCCTCAGTCTTAGAGTCAGGCAGTGAGGGGTTTCAGCAGGCAAAGGCATTTTCTGCCAAGCCCAAGGACTGGGGATTGATCCCCTGGGGGCAGGATAGAGGAAAGAGGTGTGTAGAACTTCCTTAGTCCTCTTATCAAGGGTTCCTCCAGTTGTTTCGACAGAGAAAACTGCTGTGCAACAGCAGGCTACACAGTCAAGGCTTTTTCATTCTGTTTGCTTGCTTTACATCACTGAGCATCAAACCTAGAGTTCCAAGAACATTAGGTAATCACTCTAACACTGAGCTAGTGAACACTTTTATTACTTCTTTAAGTTTACAGAAAGTCTTATTAAGTGCTCAGGATGACTTTGAATTTGTCATCTTTCTGCCTCAGCTACATGGGATGACAGGCCTGCTCTACAAAGTAAAGCAATATTGAAAAAGAAGAAGAATTTATGTTGTAAAGTGGGCAGAAACAAACATGTCTTTTTTTTATCTTTTACAGCAGGGTCTCACAAAGTAATCCTGGCTGGTTTGGAACTTGCTGTATAGACCAAACTGTTTTCAAACTCACAGATATCCTGCTTATGTCTCCTGATTGATGGAACTAAAGGCCTGTGACACCATGCTCTGCTCAAATATATTAATTTTATAAGTTTATTAAATATGATTACAAAGTCTTATCGAATTTATTTTTAATTTTTGTTGGGGTGATGTTTGGTTGGTTAGTTTTGGTTTTTCAAGACAGGGTTTCTCTGTATAACAGTCCTGGCTGTCCTGGAACTTACTTTGTAGACCAGGCTAGCCTCAAACTCACTGAGATCCACCTGCCTCTGCCTTCCAAGTGCTGGGATTAAATGCATGTACTACCACTATCTGGCTATTTCTCTTTTTATTTATTATTTTTTTATATGTGTATGAGAGTGTATGCCGTGTGTGTGGAGGCCAGAAAATGTTGTCAGACCTCAGGAGTGGGAGTTATATTTCTCTTTTTATAAAGTCTTTTATTTGTGCTCCATAAGAACAAAGGGCTAGGGCAATATTCCCATGGTTAAGAACACTTTGAAAGGGTTGGAGAAATGGCTCAGATGTTAAGAGCACTGGCTGATCTTCCTAGAGGTCCTGAGTTCAATTCCCAAGAACCATATGGTGACTCACAACCATCTATAATGAGATCTGCTGCCATCTTCTGGCGGGCAGGCATACATGCAGGCAGAACACATACATAATAGATAAACAAACAAATAAATCTTTTTTTAAAAGGACACTTTAAAGACAAAGCAGGTTTGGTTCATAGTGCACACATGGTGACTGACATCTGTATGTAGCTTCCATTCCAAAGGATCTGACTCCCTTTTGGAATCTGTAAGCACTGCATGATCTGATGGTCAAATACACATAAAAAGAATATTCATTCCGGCGGGGTTGGTGATGCACACCTTTAATCCCAGCACTCGGGAGGCAGAGGCAGACAGATCTCTGTGAGTTCGAGACCAGCCTGGTCTACAGAGTCCAGGACAGCCTCCAAAGCAATAAAGAGAAACCCTGTCTTGAAAAACAAGCAAATAAACAACAAAAAAAAAAAGAATATGCAAAAATGTAATCTAGAAAATTTAATTATGCAATAAAGACCTGGAAAAGCTCATAGCACTCTCTGTGTAGTAGCCCACCCCCGAATCTCATGTGGGGAAGTTGAGGAAAAAGGAACAGGATTTCCAGGCCAGTTTTCACTACATAGTGAATTTGAGGCACGTTTGGGCTCCATGAGACCTTGTCTGGAAAACAAAACACAAACAATGAAAATGTCAGATAAAATGTTGTGGCACAATGGCTCGGCTCCTGTGTAAAGGCATTTGCCATCAGCCCTAATCACCCATCTAATGGAAGGAGAGCCAATTACAGTGAGCTGTCTAACGGCTACATGTGTAACACACATAAATAAATGTTTTAAAATATTTTCTCACATACTAATTATCACATAATTAGCAATATTTGAGATTCCTATTATGGGTGCTATGAAAGAGCTTAGTGGTTAAGAATGTCTACTCCTCTTTGAGAACACCAGAGTTCGGTTCCCAGCACCCACACAGACACAATTAGCAATTGTCTAGCAATAGCAAGGATACTGGGCATGGATACCTCAGGGTCAAGAAAACAGACACGTTCTGTGCCTTAAGTCTCCAAGGGAATGTGACTTGTAAAGTGTCTTGGCATAGCTTAAGAGGCATTGAGGGTTAACAGAGTAAGGGGCTATGTTTTCTAAGAAGGGAGAAGGGGTATAAGTACATAAAACTACAGTTGTGTGTTGTTAAGCTAGAAGTTTGTAGCTCTGTGCTTTCGAGGCCTCTAGGAACACAGATTTGCGCTAACCATGGCATTTGGTCCACATCACCATTTTCACCAAATGTTAACTGGTTAAAGGGGCTTCTCAGCGCTGCATCAAAGGAAAAGCTAGTGTGAGATCCGAGGCTGCTGCTTCTAGCCTCAGGGTGAGCAGTGGGGCGCTCTTACCGCTGAATTCCTTGGGCCTATTCGAGAATACAAGGCACCCAGTATATATTCTATGTGTCACGATTAAACAGCCAAATAAATCACCCTCCAGGCCGGGCGTTGGTGGCGCACGCCTTTAATCCCAGCACTCGGGAGGCAGAGGCAGGCGGATCTCTGTGAGTTCGAGACCAGCCTGGTCTACAAAGTGAGTTCCAGGACAGCCTCCAAAGCCACAGAGAAACCCTGTCTCAAAAAAAAAAAAAAATCACCCTCCTGACTTCCCACAGATACATGTGTACCCAGTAGATGGGATATTTTCGTGAGGTAAACACACACAAGCAGTGGGAATCACCCAAAGCTATTCTTAGGAAAGAGATGAAGTGACTCCATGGCCTTTTCCAGGAGCTCCCTTGTTGAATAATAGTTATACTGCTGTATTTCTCATGGCCACTGACATTTATAATCTTCAAAAACTCCTATTATGGTTGTGTCCAAATAATAGCATTTGTACAGAATAGGTGACTAACACTAAAACGAATTTCATACAAATACCAAATTTCCCATTTCTTACGTTAATGTGACCATTTTGTGAATCATTACTGTGTGGCTAGCACGGAACAGCCACTCTTGGGGCTACCTTTCGAAAGCTCCGCCCTCCTACCAGACCCCGCCCTCAAAGACCCCACCTCCTAAGCCCTCATCTTTGATTGGCTTTCCCCGTCACGTGCTGAGGCCCCGCCCCACGTCGTTGGCTCTTCCCTTTCAGGTCTCGTAGCGTCAAGCCCGCCCTGCCTGCCTCGTCTTTTCCGGTCTTCGTCCGGCGTTGCACCCCTTAGCAAGCTGATTGGGTCTTTGGTTCCTTCTTCGTCACGGCAACACCCTTACTCTCCTTCCAGCCACAGTCTGTCATGGCAGCTCCCTGAGCAGGCACTTCCCGACCTATCTAGCGCTTTCCACCGGCGCTTCCTAGTCCTAAAAGCATTCATGGTGGCGCTCAGGCCTCGCCGGAAGTAACTTGCCGGAAGTAAGGCGGTGCCTCTGCCGGAAGTCAGGGCAGCCCTGGGAAAGATGGCGGCGGTGGGCAACGCGGTTCTTTGCGGGGCCCGGCCTGGCGGGGCCGGGGGCAACGGGCCTCCCCAGCCTGAGCGGCGGCCGCGGCCGATGCTGGCCGCCGGACCAGCGCTCATAGCGAGTGGCGATGAGCTGGTGGCCGCCGTGTGGCCCTACCGGCGGCTGGCGCTTCTGCGGCGCCTCACCGTGCTGCCGTTCGCCGGGCTGCTGTACCCGGCCTGGCTGGGCGCTGCCGCCAGCGGGTGCTGGGGCTGGGGCAGCAGCTGGACCCAGGTCCCCGAGGCCGCTCTGCTGGCGCTCGCCACCATCTGCCTCGCGCACGCACTCACTGTCCTGTCAGGGCATTGGTCTGTGCACGCGCACTGCGCGCTCACCTGCACCCCGGTAAGTGCGCGCGCACGACCCGGACCGGGACCCAGGCGACGTGGAGCCGAGCGGGGGGTGGGGGTGGGGTTCCGGGCCGCCGCGGGCTTGCACATCCCCAGTCCCGTCTGCAGCCTTGTCTGGGCGAGGCCCGAGTCTCCAGAGCCGCCCTCTGCCCTGTGGTTTAGGCCTAAATCTGACCCCGCTGTGACTCGCCATGCGACTGTGGTGTGGTCACTTCGATTCGCAAGAAACTAAAACAGACCTATCGCAGAACCCCTATGTTACCAGATGGCGTGGTGTTTTGGAACGATCCTATACCTTCCCTCTCCGTTATCTCTACCTTGGTTTTTCTTTTCTTGTTTTTGTTTGTTTTCCTAAGACAGGGTCTCACTATGCAGCCCTGGCTCGTCTGGAACTCAGAGATCTCTGCCTACTTCTGTCTCCAGCATGTTGGGATTAAAAGCCTGTGCCACCATTTCTGGCTCCTACTTTTTTTCTCTCCCCGAAGTGTGAGGCTAGACCCTAGTCTGTGTTCAGCCTCTGTCCCTTGCTAGATCCAAAGGAGCGTGCAGTTCATCCTGGTGCTTAAGATGGGCAGGAGCTAGTTTTAAGTGACTTAATAGTTTAGAGTCTCATGATATCTTGCTATAAGATAAGGGTGGTTAATTCTTTGGGGACTTGTCAGGGTGGTTATACAATACAGCAAGACAGTGCAGTGATCCAAGTTCACAATTCTAAATACAGTGCCATTACAGGAAGCAGTGACTACAAGGTGCTCTAAGTTGGCATGTAACATCCAATGACCACACTACAGATCACGCCAAATTTGAAGCCTGGGCACTGATATCTGCTCAAGCCAGTTTCCTTTCTAACTCTAGCTCTGGGTTGGTCCTCAGGAAAGGAAGGAAGTGTCAAGTACTGCAGGAAAAACCAGAATACCCTTACCTACCCTCCCTGGTTCTGTGTGCATTGAATCCTCAGTCCCAAGAGAGTGCACCCTGTTGTCTCCTTCATTTATCCTGCAGAGGGGCCCAGCTTTCTGAGCGTGGGACTGAGGGTCGTGGTAGAGTTGTGGGGGTGAGTGTCTAGAGGGCTTTTGGACTGTAGCTAAACATGTGTAGGCGTGAACTTCCTCTCCCAGGATGGAGAAGTGAGTGGGAGGAGCTAAGCAGCCTTGGGGTGAGGAGACAGATGGGGGTTTGCTTCTTTCTCCCTGGGTTTCAGTTTCACCCTGCAATGAGGGAAGATAAGATGGCCTGTAAAGAGCCTGCCTCAGTGTTAGAGTGCTTGCCTTCTGTGTCAGAGAAGCTCATCATTGTGTGTTTGTTTCTGTTTTCTCTATGGTTCCGGGCCATGCAGTCCCTCTGGAGTGGCATTCCTGCAGGGTCACCACCGTGTCCCTCCTCCTCCAATCAGTGCAGGTCTATTAAAACAGCTCATGGGAGGGTGGTCCTTGTGTCAGGAGAGTGACATGGAGAAAACCACTGGGGATGAAATGGTCCCGTTTGTTATTGCAGAAGACAGATAACCCTAACAGGTGTCTCAGCTCACACTAGCTGTAGATTGGGCCACCTGGAGCAGGCTCCAGAGTAGGTGGCATTTAAGCACAGGCCTGAAGGAATCGGGAGAGCTAGCTGTCTGAGTGTGCCTGCTTCCTGCAAAGAAGACGGTGTGAAGCAGGGAGGCATGGCCAACCTCTTGACGTCACAGCACAGTGTAGTCATCAGCGTAATTACTCTAGGGAGTCTCATAACTAA